TTCAAAGGTACCAAAAATACATTATCCAAAGTTATAACATAGTAAACCTTTAAAACTAAACGTTAAATATAAACATGTCAAACATAGCAAATCAAAGTGGAACCCGTCTATCTTTTGCGACCTTGAACTCTTCCACAATTTCCTCCAAACTAATCTTTTCAGCTACTTCCCTTTAGATGAACAAAAGTAACGAGTCATTTAGAAACTCATCATCCATTCTATTCTGTATTCTTGTTTTCACAATATTCATTGCTGAAAACGATCTCTCGGTTGTCGCGGTAGAAACTGGAAGAGTAAGTAATAGACTTATTAATCGATAAATAAGATCAAAAGTGGTTTCTCTTCTAGTCCTTACCAACCATTGACCCAATTCTGCAAGAGATGTCAATTGCTTATAATCTACATGTTGAACGACATCAATAGCATAATGCTGAAGTTGCATTTTCAGAATTGTTCTCTCATGATCACTGAAATCTTCAGGATAAAACTTCTCTACAAGTTGTCGTACATCAAGACTTCTAAAAGTCTCGTACGCATTTTTAGGATCTAGAGTTGAAGCAAGACGAAGCATCTCCATGGAACCATCACTGAAACGATGATCTAATTCCATTAATTGACAATTAATTGCTTTATAAAAGATATCCACTCGGTAATGATGCTCAAGTGTATCTCCGGCTCGTTGTAATGTACCAATTTGATTGAGACCTCTACCGGTCTCTAATTCATCAACAGAAATCAAGTATGCAATTTGCTCGACTTGTGCATCTCGTAGTTGATCAGTGCGTTTGGAAGAAGCACTAACAACATTGACAACAAAAGACAACGTTGTAAAAAACTTACGTAGTGCTACAACTCCTTGAGAGGCGGCCATTAATGACAATTGCAACCGATGAGCAAGACAGTAAACATAATATGCGTATTTACAATCTTCTAAAATCAAGGCTTGCAAACCTTTGCATATTGCTTGCACCATCATACCCTTGTCTACGAATAGACTTGACATCAAGATTGTAATGTGACAACAAAGAATAGATTCCATCCTTGAGCGTTTGTGCCGTAGTGTCACGTACATGAACAAGTCCAAAAAAACGTTCTATAATGAAACCCTCTTTATTAACAAATCTCAAAACAAGAGACATTTGCTCTTTATGAGACTCATCACGTGCTTCGTCAACAAGTAAACAAAAGGGATGACCACCAATTTCCTCACAAATCATTTGCCTCACCTTATTTGATATAAGATTCAAAATTTCCTTTTGAATCGACGGTGATGTATATCCCGTGCTTCGTCAACAAGTAGACATTTGCTCTCTAGATGCAGGGGTATTATCTTCATTTGTTGTTTCTTCGGGATCTTGAGAAGAAGAACTAGCATGCTTTCTTTTAAAAAACCCATGAATGGTAGGTTGAGTTTTCATCTTTATCTACATAGCAGTTTTAGTGTTAGATTGTATGATTTCAATTCATATTGGATGACTATTAACCAAATTGCTATTGACATACAACATTTGAATGACTATTAACCAAATTTTGTACCAAAAGAACAAACTAAAGAACAAACCAGTGAACTGTTAACTGTGTACAAGAATGACCTTAATTTCCACATATATATGATTGCAATTTGCAAATACCAAACGCATCTCTAAATAACCAATTTCAGCCACATAACCATTAAATCACCACATAAAGTCATAAATTTAGACCTAATAATCACCTAAATCAGTAAATCACCACTTTTGGGTTTTGATTTCTAAAACAAAAGGTGCAACATTTCACATTTGTGTTCGGCCCCTGTCATTAGCAGCAAGCAGTAGCAGTCTAGGTCTAGCAGAAGTGCAGAAGCAGAACAGCAGCAGTCAACAGAGAATGCGAGAAGCAGGGGCTTACCGGGAGTTACCATGGCCGGCTGGGCGCTGGCCGTCGACCGCCGAGTGTCGCCTCCGCCTCCGCCTACCTTCTATGTTGGTCGCTGGTCGCTGGCTCGCTGCGCAGTACGCTCCTCGTCCTCCACACTCCACAGGCTGCAGTGGTCGCCGTCGCTCTCACCTGAGTCGCCTCTCGGGATTGGAAGGGGGGGCTGGTTGAAATTTTTGGTTTTCTAGAAGCTAATGGACTAAACTATTGAATGGTAATTGGGAAAAAAATCACAGGGGCCAGGGCCCCTATAGGCCCATTAGGCAGTCTGCCCCTATACATATACATATACATGGTGAGGTTCACCCGTTCAAAAGAAATTACCTCGATCGATCATTAGATTAACTGATTTAACCGTGCGTAATTAAGTCGACGTTTATAACAATATGTTTTAAATTAAGAAAAATCTTACCACCCCTATTTTTTATTCGAAAAAATGAAATATAAACAAAAATCGAGCTAAATAAATTACTATATTGATTTATTTTTTCATCCGTTTTTTTCATAATTTTCCATTTTTTCATTTGTTTAGCGTTTTCCCCTGAACTCAACTCTCTCTCTCAACCATAAAATAAACGAAAAACCAGAAAACAACTTAAAAACGGATGAAAAAAATATGTTAATATGGATGTCAAATTAGTGAGAAATATGATTGTTTTTTGGTGTAATTTATTTCACTCGATTTTAGTTTATATTTTATCTTTTCTCGAAATACAAAATAAGTGGGAGAGTGGTTTTTTTAATTAAAAAAATATTGTTGTAAACGTCCATTTAATTATATCCGTTAAATCAATTAATCTAATGATCGATAACTATAATTTTCTCCTGAACAAAACTTGCTATATGTGCGTATACATACACGCACATAGACGTACATAATATATATTTTTCGAAAAGAAAACATATTGTATTTTAAAATTAAACTTAAAGAATAATAACTAATATTTATTAAAGTATAATAATTAATTAATTTAATAAACTTAAAAGTATAAAAAAATATATTTTTATTTTACATACTTAATTATGGATTTGGTCCCTATAGTTTATGTGAGTTTTACAAAATTGGCTCATCGAGTAAAGACAAAACATGGAAAATGACGAAAATGTCCCCAAAATTAATGGAGGAACTGGATGAGCATTAGAGGAAGGGACCAATCCGTTACAAAATGACATACAACAAGTCATAATATGCAATAAATGAAGTTAAAGAACCATTTTCATAAAGATCACAAAACCACATAGACCATAATCTACTCTATATTTATATTTATTTTTTCTTAGAAAAAAGTTAAGAAATGATATCCCTGGATCCAAAAAGCGGTCCCTCCAACCCCTCCCCACCGTATACTCCATCCCTCACCCTCAATAATCACATGATTCCCTCTTGTTATAATTAACTAGAAGAGTATTCGTGTAATACAAAAAGATATATCTCGATTTTAATGTTTTATTTTATTATTTGTCTCTGTCGATTTTATAATACGATTTTATAATACGATTTTATATGTTTTTAAGAAAGCAATAATGATTTTATTTTTGAATAAAATATAAATTTGAAGATATCATAAAAATATAAAAAAAATATATCAATGTTAATATCAAATCAACTATTTAAAAGTT